TGTGTGTGTCTGTGTGTGTGTGTGTCGTGTGTCTGTGTGTGTCTGTGTGTGTGTGTGTGTCTGTGTGTGTGTTGTGTGTGTGTGTGTGTGTCTGTGTGTCTGTGTGTGTGTGTTTTAACATTTTCTCAGAGTTTATACGAGTTCAATCTGTTCTAGAGTTAATTTAACACTTTTAGAAATGTTAATTAAGTAACACTGGACCAAAGTTCCTTTTAGTTTAACCCAAAATCCAGAGTTATATTAATGTTTTGAGAGTAAACAGATAACACTTTGTAGAGTTATTCTAATTTATTTAAACAACACACAGAGGAGTTTTATTTTTACACTTTATTTGAGTTAATTTAAGATGAAAATTATGAACAAAAATGGTTCAAACTGGTCTTTTCTCGCCGGAGTTTGAAGTGGAGGGTGGGAGGAGCCAAATTAACACTAGAGGAAGTTGAATTTACACTAAAATAAGTTGAATTAACACTAAGAAAAACTGATTAACACTAGAGGAAGTTGAATTAACACTAGAGGAAGTTGAATTAACACTAGAGGAAGTTGAAATTAACACTAGAGGAATTGAAAACGAAGTTGATTAAACACTAGAGGAAGTTGAATTAACACTAGAGGAAGTTGAATTAACACTAAAGGGCCTGTCACACCAAGGCGTCAAAGTGTCCAGTTTCTATGTAAAGTCGATGTGGACCGACTAGAGCGTCCTGCGTTTTTGCGTTGCGTCTTGAGTGTTTTGGTGTCGACGTCATGAAGTTGAAAATGCTGAACTTCCAATCAGGGACGAGTATCCAGAGACGCAGCGACGTTTTTATCAGGAAGAAAACCCCAGAACCAACCACAAACATAAACGAAGATAAAATATAATAAATATAAACACAAACACCAGACTAAACCAGGACAGACCAGGACTAACTAACCAGGACTAAACCAGACTAAACCAGAACTAAACAGGGACTAACCAGGACTAAACCAACTAAACAGGGACTCTACTAACCAGGACTAAACCAGGACTAAAACCAGGACCAGACCAGGACTAAACCAGAACTAAACCAGGACAGGACCTAGACTGGGACTGGGACTGGGACCTAAACCAGGACTACCAACCAGGGAACCAGACTAAACCAGGACTAAGACCGAGGACATGAGACTAACCAGGACTAAACCAGGACTAACCAGGACTAGATAGACTAGACTGGACTAACCAGGACTAACCGGACCTAGACCAGGACTAGAAGGACTAAACAAGGACTAGACGAGAGACAGGACTAACCGGGACTAGACTAAACCAGGACTAGACCGGGACTAGACCAGGACTATTAACCAGGACTAGACCAGGACTAGACCAGGACTGATCCAGTGTCATTAGTGGAGTATAAATTATAACTGGCTCCAGTCGTCGAGTCGATTTCCTCCGCTGATGTTTTATGTCATAAAAACACTCAAGTCTCTCAGTCTGGTCTGACATTGTTTCGGGAAAGACCAGGACCGGACTCTTGTTTCCAGGGCAAATAGAAACGTCGAGGAGTTTTTGACCCTTTAGAGAAGTTGAATTAACTTCAACCATCTCAACTCAAATCACCCCGACTCAAACCCCCGTTTAACTTTCAAATATTTAAAAATGACACTTTTTGTGTTAAAAACAACTGAAATATTTCATCCTGACATTTTAACCCTCTAGTTTCTGCCGTGTATAAACACTAGTGTTACCGTGGATCACATGACCGCGCTCTGACCGCGCTCTGACCGCCATCTGCTGCAGCTGAGCGTCTCACCTGAGCAGAGCCGAGTCACCTGACCTCACCTGTCCTCTCCTGTCTGCTCCTGTCACTTACAATCCTCCTCGTATAATGTTTAAAAACCAAGACTAAACCAGGTCTAAACCAGGTCTAGACCTGGTTTAGACCTGGTTTAGTCCTGGTTTAGTCCTGGTTTAGTCCTGGTTCAGTCCTGGTTTAGTTCTGGTTCAGTCCTGGTTTAGTTCTGGTTCAGTCTGGTTTAGTCCTGGTTTAGTCCTGGTTTAGTCTGGTTTGTTTCCTGGTTTAGTCCTGGTTTAGTCCTGGTTTTAGTCCTGGTTTCCTGGTTTAGTTCTGGTTTAGTTTAGTCCTGGTTTAGTTCTGGTTCAGTCCTGTTTGTTAGTCTGGTTAAGTCCCTGGTTGGTTTAGTTTCTGGTTTAGTTCTGGTTTAGTTCTGGTTTAGTCCTGGTTTAGTCCTGGTTCAGTCCTGTTTAGTCTGGTTCAGTCCTGGTTTAGTTCAGTCTGGTTTAGTTTTCTGGTTTGTCAGTCTGGTTTAGTCCTGGTTTAGTCCTGTTTAGTTCTGGTTAGTTCTGGTTAGTCTGGTCCTGGTTTAGTCTGGTTCTGGTTTAGTCTGGTTTAGTCCTGGTTTAGTCTGGTGGTTTAGTCCTGGTTTAGTCCTGGTTAGTCCTGGTTTAGTTCTGGTTTAGTTCTGGTTAGTCCTGGTTTAGTCCTGGTTAGTCCTGGTTTAGTCCTGTTTATTCTGGTTTAGTTTGGTTTAATTCTTTTAGTAATCATTTGACATTTTAAAAGTCGATTTACAGAAAATAAAACGACAATAAACAACATTTATTTGACAACAATCCTCCTTTGTTAAATCCCCCGTTCCCCGAGCCAGAGGGAGAAAGAGAAAGAGAAAAGAGAAAGAGAGAAGGAGAGATGGAGAAAGATGGAGAGATGGAGGGAGGGAGGAGTGGAAAGATATTTTGAGAGACACGTCAGGAATGTGGAGCCCAGATCTGCACTTTAAACCCTTCACTCCAACACGAGGCTCAAAGAAACACAAATAAAATGTATTATTATTATTATTATTTTATTATTTTAAATATATTTTATTATTTATTTATTATTATTTTATTATTATTAATTACACTATTTCGGTTGGTTTATGTATTAAAATATATTTAATTTCTGCAGCTGAAAATGGAAAACTAAACCAGGAGGTCTAAAACAGGATTCACCAGGTCTAAACCAGGACTAAACCAGGTCTAAACAGGTTAAACCACTCTAAACCAGGACTAAACCAGGTCTAAACCAGGACTAAACCAGGACTAAAACCAGGTCTAAACCAGGTCTAAACGGTCAACAGGACTAAAACCAGGAGGTCTAAAACCAGGTCTAAACCAGGACTAAACCCTAAAAGGTCTAAACTAAACCAGGTCTAAACCAGGTCTAAAAGGACTAAACCAGGTAAACCAGGACTAAAAGTCCAGTCTAAACCAGGGTCTAAACCAAGTCTAAACCAGGAGGTCTAAACTAACAGGTCTAAAACCAGGTCTAAACTAAACAGGTCTAAACCAGGTCTAAACCAGGACTAAACCAGGACTAAACCAGGACTAACCAGGTCTAAACCAGGTCTAAAACCAGGACTAAACCAGGTCTAAACCAGAAACCAGGACTAAACCAGGTCTAAACCAGGTCTAAACAGGTCTAAACCAGTCTAACCAGGTCTAAACCAGGCAGGACTCTAAACCAGGTCTAAACCAGTCTAAACCAGGTCTCTAAACCACAGGTCTAAACCAGGTCTAAACCAGGACTAAACCAGGTCTAAACCAGGTCTAAACCAGGTCTAAACCAGGTCTAAAACAGGTCTAAACCAGGACTAAACCAGGTCTAAACCAGGACTAAACCAGGTCTAAACCAGGACTAAACCAGGTCTAAACCAGGTCTAAACCAGGTCTAAACCAGGACTAAACCAGGTCTAAACCACTAAACCAGGAGGTCTAAACCAGGACTAAACCAGGTCTAAACCAGGAGGTCTAAACCAGGACTAAACCAGGTCTAAACCAGGACTAAACCAGGTCTAAACCAGGTCTAAAACCAGTCTAAACCAGGTCTAAACCAGGTCTAAACCAGGAGTCTAAACCAGGACTTAAACCAGGAGGTCTAAACCAGGTCTAAAACCAGGTCTAAAGGACTAAACCAGGACTAAACCAGGTCTAAACCAGGACTAAACCAGGACTAAACCAGGACTAAACCAGGGTCTAAACCAGGAACTAAACCAGGACTAAACCAGGACTAAACCAGGACTAAACCAGGTCTAAACCAGGTCTAAACCAGGGGTCTAAACCCTAAACCAGGACTAAACCAGGTCTAAACCAGGTCTAAACCAGGTCTAAACCAGGTCTCTCTCTGTTCTCAGGTCGCAGTGTTCCGCCCGTGAAGTCGGCGCCTCCGGCCTCCAAGACGCTGAAGCTTCTGTCGTCCCTGAGCCACGTCCCCGTCAGCGGCGCCGAGGAGGGCAAAGGTCAACACACGGCCCCGCTGTACGAGAGCGAGGAGCTGTGACCTTTCACCCGCCCAAAAAAGAAAACACAAAAACAAAAACGTACGATTCACGCGCACGTTAGGAAAAAAAAGACGCGAGGAGGAGGTTTGACGAGACTTCTGTTCTACGTTTTGTTTCATTTTTAAAAACGTCAGATCCCGAAACGGCGGAGAAACCGAAAAACGGGACCGGACCGGCGACTTCCCGTTCGGTCCGTGCGTTTTTCAAAATAAAACCGTCTCCTGTCGCTCTTCATGATCCTGGGGTTTTTATTTCACCGTTTCGTCCGTAAATCGATTCATGATTCGGAACCGAGCTCGAAATCCAGCCTCACTGAGCTTCATTTGACTGGAGCTGGACCGTACACTGTAAATATCTCTGAACCAGGACTAAACCAGGACTAAACCAGGACTAGACCAGGACTAGACCAGGACTAGACCAGGACTAGACCAGGAACCAGGACTAAACCAGGACTAGACCAGGACTAGACCAGGACTAAACCAGGACTAAACCAGGACTAAACCAGGACTAAACCAGGACAGGACTAGACCAGGACTAGACCAGGACTAAGACCAGGACTAAACCAGGACTAAACCAGGACCAGGACTAACCAGGACCAGACCAGGACTAAACCAGGACTAGACCAGGACTAGACCAGGACTAAACCAGGACTAAACCAGGACTAAACCAGGACTAAAACAGAAGTAAACCAGGTCTAAACAAGGACTAAACCAGGAACTAAACCAGGACTAGACCAGGACTAAACAAGGACAAAAACAGGACTGGACCAGGAATAAAACAGAACTAAACCAGGACTAAACCAGGACTAGACCAGGACTAAACCAGGACTAAACAAGAACTAAACCAAGACTGGACCAGATTTAAACCAGGACTAAAACAGAACTAAACCAGGACTTAAGCAGGCCTAAACAAGGACTAGACCAGGACTAAACCAGGACTAAAACAGACCTGGACCACAACTAGACCAGAACTAGACCAGGACTGAACCAGGACTAAACCAGGATTAAAAAAGGACTAAACCAGGATTGGACAAGACCTAAACCAGGACTAAACAAAGACTAAACCAGGACTAAATCAGGACTAGACCAAGACTAAACCAGGACTGGACCAGGTCTAAACCAGGACAAGGCCAGGACTAAATCAGGACTAAAACAGAACTAAACCAGGACTGAACCAGAACGGCGTCCAGGTCGTTTTTTTGACTCTCTGGACACTCCCTCGCTCGTTTCACCATTTTTTTTTTGTAGTTTTTTTATTTTATTTCGACAAACCCGGTCACTCCGAAACCGAACCGCCAAATTTTCCAAGACAAAAGTCCGAGCCGTTTCTAAATCCTGCGTCTCTCTGTCGCCGTGCCCCCCGCGTCACTCGTGTATTTATAGCGAGTTTAACCTCCGCCGCGCCGATAAAACTACATTACCCACAATCCCCCGGGCCCCTGTAATCTCACACCTGTCTGCGCTCCGGGACGCAAATACACCAGGATCAACGGAAAAATCTGCTCCGCTTTCAAACTTTTTACGTACACGGCCCCTTGTACTTTTACTTTACATGTGTACTTTGTGCTTCTGTGCTAGTACTTTTACTACTACTACTACTACTACTACTACTACTACTGCGAGTATTGTACTGTACAAACGCTGCGTATTTAGGCCGAGTTCTTCTCTCAAACTGAAAGAAAAAAACTAAACAAAACAATAAACGCTCTTATTCCACCCTGTGATGTCACGTGGTTATACAGGAAGTGCTCCGTTGTGTTTAGTCCTGGTTTAGTTCTGATGTGGTCCTGTTTTAGTCCTGGTTCAGTTCTGGTTTAGTCCTTGTTTAGTCCTTGTGCAGATCTTGTTTTAGTCCTGGTTTAGTTTTGTTTTAGTTTTGTCTTAGTCCTGGTTTTGACCTGGTTTAGTCCTTATTTAGTTCTGGTTTAGTCCTGGTTTAGTCCTTTTTCCGTCCTGGTTTAGCCCTTGTTTAGTCCTGGTTAAATCCTGGTTTAGTCCTGGTTTAGTCCTTGTTTAGTTCTTGTTTAGTTCTTGTTCAGTTCTTGTTTTTGTCCTGTTTTAGTCCTCGTTTAGACCTGGTTTAGACCCGGTTTAGTCCTGGTTTAGACCTGGTTTAGTCCTGGTTTAGTTGTGGTTTATTTTTTGTTTTGTCCTGGTTTAGTTCTTGTTTAGACCTGGTTTTAGTCCTTTTTCAGTCCTGATTTAGTCCTTGTTTAGTTCTTGTTTAGTCCTGTTTTATTCCTGTTTTAGTCCTGGTTTAGTTCTGCTTTAGTCCTGTTTTTAGTCTTGGTTTAGTCCTGTTTTAGTCCTAGTTCAGTGGTGTTTTAGTCCTTGTTTTAATCCTTATTCCGTCTTGTTTTAGTCCTGGTTTAGTTTTGGTTTAGTCCTGATTTAGTCCTGATGTGGTCCTGGTTTAGTCCTGAGGTGTCCTGGTTTAGTTCTGGTTTAGTCAACGTTCAGTGGTGTTTTAGTCCTGTTTTATACCTTGTTTTAGTCCTTTTTCAGTCCTGGTTTAGTCCCTGTTTCAGTCCTCATTTAGTCCTTTTTTAGTCCTTGTTTAATCCTGGTTTAGTCCTGATTTAGTCCTGGTTTAGTCCTGTTTTAGTCCTTGTTTTAATCCTTATTCAGTCCTGCTTTAGTCCTGTTTTTAGTCTTGGTTTATTCCTGTTTTAGTCCTAGTTCAGTGGTGGTTCAGTCGTGTTTTAGTCCTGGTCTAGACCTGTTTTAGTCCTGGTTTAGTCCTATTTTAAACCTGGTTTAGTCCTATTTTAAACCTGGTTTAGTCCTATTTTAAACCTGGTTTAGTCCTATTTTAAACCTGGTTTAGTCCTGTTTTTATCCCCCCCTTTCTCCCTTTAACTCTCCCTCTCTCTGTCCTTTTTTCTTTTTTTCTTTCTTTTTTTCTCTGTGTTTTTAAACTCCACAAACCTTCACCACCACCTCATGACATCACGAGGTGGAACGGAGCGTTTTTGAGCTTTCGGAGACGCAGACGGACGAATAATAAAGAAACAAAACGCGACTCCAGAGGAAAAAAAACAAAAAAAAACGTTAGAAGAGAAGGAACCGAACGAGGCCTGAAAGAATCAAAATATCTGCAGCGCGGATTTGTCATTTCACCTTTAATTTCTTTTTTTTTTTTTTTTTTTTTTGGCGTGTTTGCGTTTAATTAAGTTTGTTTGTGTCCGTTTTCCGTCACGTCCGCTCTTCTTCTTCTTCTTCTTCTTCTTCACGTATTCGCTCTGACGCTTGGTTTTGATCGTTCGGTTCTGAAGCTGCGAGTGTAAAACCCGAATGTAAAAAAAAAAAAAAAAACGTTTTCTGTGTTTTCCCGTGGAGCCTCCTCTCTCGCCCGAGCCCTGTGGTTTCTCCGGTTGTTTTTTCCCGTTGTTGTTGTTGTTGTTTTTTGTTTTTGTTGTTGTTGTTTTTGTCGTGTGCTGGATTCGCTCCGGACTCGCCTGAAAACGCCGCGTTCCCGTTTTAAACTTTAAACTCCGTGTGCTTCTTTTGAATCGTGTTTGTCGTGTAAAACTTCTGTATGGATGAGAAATAAATAAAGTCTGTGTTAAAGGAGATCGATGTACGAGGGTTTTTTTTTTCTGTACAAAAAGAAAAATAAATAAAATAAAATGAATAAAAAGAAAACTCACAGTTAATCACAAAACTGTTCACTCCAGAAGATGAAAAACACTTTGTATTTATTTATTTATTTATCTGTTCACGTCTAAAAGAGTTTTCTGTGTAACAAACTGTACTCTGCCCCCTGCTGTTTTAAAAAGGTACTACAACCACAACTCACCCTGGGTACTACTAATACTACTACTACTACTACTACTACTACTACTACTACTACTACTACTACTACTACTACTACTAATACTACTACTACTACTACTACTACTACTACTACTACTGACTACTACTACTACTACTACTACTACTACTACTACTACTAACTACTACTATACTACTACTACTGCTACTACTTACTACTACTACTACTACTGCTACTACTACTACTACTACTACTACTACTGCTACTACTACTACTACTACTACTACTACTACTAGCTACTACTACTACTACTACTACTGCTACTACTGAACTGTACTACTACTACTACTACTTAACTACTACTGCTACTGCTACTACTACTACTACTACTACTACTACTGCTACTACTACTACTACTACTACTACTACTACTACTACTACTACTACTACTACTAACAAAACTGTACTACTGTATAAAACTGAATAATTAAAACTACACTATGAACTACTACTACTAGCTACTACTACTACTACTACTACTACTTACTGCTACCACTACTGTACAACTGTACTACCACTACTAACACCTACTGACTACTACTAATTTTTACTGCTACTATACTAATATAACTACTACACTGTACTACTGTAACTGTACTACTACTGTACCTACTACTACTACTATACTACTACTAACTGCTACTACTACTACTACTTTACTATACTATACTGCTACTACTATACTACTACTACTACTAATACTACTACTACTACTACTACTACTACTACTACTACTACTACTACTACTACTACTACTACTACTGCTACTACTACTACTACTGCTACTACTACTACTACTACTACTACTGCTACTACTAATACTACTACTGCTACTGCTACTACTACTACTACTACACTACTACTGCTACTACTGCTACTACTACTACTATTACTACTGACTACTACTACTGCTACTACTACTACTACTACTGCTACTACTACTCCTACTACTACTACCTACTACTACTGCTACACTACTACTACTACTACTACTACTACTACTACTACTACTACTGCTATACTATACACTACTACTACTACTACTACTACTACTACTACTACTGATACTACTACTGCTACTCTACTACTGCTACTACTACTACTACTGCTACTACTGCTACTGCTACACTATACTTACTACTACTATACTACTACTACTACTACT